TTCTCGGACGAGGCTCACTTCCATTTAAACGGGCATGTAAATAAACAAAATTGCCGTTATTGGAGCCCCGAAAATCCAAGGCGTAAGCATCAGAAGCCCTTACACAGCCCTAAAGTTACAGTTTGGGCTGCTATGTCAGCGCATGGCATCGTAGGCCCTTATTTTTTTGAGGACGACAGAGGTCGCGCATTAACTGTTACTTCGAAGCGGTATGTAGCAATGATAGAAGAGTTTTTGACACCAGCGTTGCAGAATTTTCCAGGCTATAATACGCAGACCTGGTTTCAACAGGACGGAGCAACTGCCCACACCTCCAACACTTCTATGCCCGTCGTCTGTCAACTTTTTCCCAGCAAAGTAATTTCTCGAAGAGGAGACATTTCCTGGCCACCACGTAGTCCAGATTTGACCCCAATGGACTTCTTTTTATGGGGCTACCTCAAGAGTAAAGTGTACGACACCACTCCGCGATCAGTTGATGTCCTGAAAGAAAATATCCGAAGAGAAATGGCAAGCATTACAGTGTTGACTTGCCGCGCAGTCATCGACAATTTTAGACGTCGTTTATATGAGTGCCGTGATCGTAATGGATTGCATTTAGACGATGTGATTTTTAAAACATAATTCCCATTCAATAAAGATGATAACAAAATATAATAATTCTTCATAATGTAACTAGTTTGGTTTTATTCCTTTTTTTCCAGCTCAAAGGACTTATGGGCCACCCTGTATAAGTGCTTCCGTTGGGAGCAATTTGTTGGCTAAAGTAGAAAATTGCACAGCAAAACAACAAGGCTCGGGTTTGTTTTATAAACGTTACCATGGGTGCCACAACACAACCATTTCGACTAACGTGCAAATATACCGTATAAAATAGTTGTATAAACGTTTATGCAACAGTTAAAAATTTGCCCTATAAGGGGTTGTATAACTATGCTATAAAAATATTTTAAACACTTCATTTTAGAACAAATATGTTGCAGAAAGCAAATCTGCATTCCACACAACATTAAGCCAGCATTTTGGTGTTCAGGCAACAACAATAGAGAGCTTTTATGGCTGGACGGTTCTTTTACTAAAAGCTTATACCACTACTTTGCTAGTTGGGTCTAGGAATGATTCTTTGGATTTTCAAGATATTCACGTCAGTGATACAGGCACAGGAAAGATAACACTGGAAATCGATTTTTCTCAAATAGCTGCATGCAAATGATCAAAAATACACCGAAAATAATTAACTCATCTAGTTGGCCAGGTACGGATTAATCCAAATGTATTTTTTTCTGCGCGCTGTATAAGAATGGGTGGAAAATTTCATGCTTGAAAAACATGGAACTTTAAATGAAAAAATTGATTTCTGTGTGATTTTGATGCAATGAACTGTTTGCACTGGAGCCGATCTCCAAAGAGCCAAACCAGTAAAAGAATAGTAACTTTGTGATTTCCGGACATCTTTGTACAAAGTCCACAACTTCATACATGAAATCATATCCTACTTCCTATAATGCTTTATTCTAATATTGTCCTACAAATATTATAACTGAGAAAGTGTATATGTTTGGTATGCATTCACGCCAAAATGGCTAACCAGATCTGGATGAATTTCTACTTAACTTACTAATATTACAAATAAAAAGGTGTGAATGTTTGTTACCCAATCACGCAAGAATTGCTGAACGGATTTAGATGAAATTTGATACTGAGTTAGATTGAAGTCTGGAATAGCACGTAGGTAACCTTTTATTCCGGTATATAACTTTGGAATATCTGTTTTATAGGCGACAAGCCTGAATCTCCTGTACCAACCAGAAATGCCTCAACAAAACGTTTGATCGCTAACTGACAAACAACAGTTACATGGTACTATAATGCTTTCGTCAACTCTACGCCATTATATTTTGTTTGTGACTTTTGTCACTCATATCAATCACATTTTGATCAGTTCCTACAAATACACAACAAAATTTTCACGCAAACAACGTCGCGGCCAACAGCTAGTTTAATAATAATGAACGCCGAAATTTTTACTGGGTAACTTCATACCGAACTGTGCCTGAGGTATTATTCCCATTATGGTTGTAACTCAATTGAGGGGAGAACTCCTGATTTAAGTAGAAACATACTTACGTCTCATTTGTAAAGACGTCGGAAGATTTTTTGCTGCATTTAAATGCTACTGTTGAGTTTCCAAGTACAGCAATGCTCCATTAGTGGACTTAAAAACGCATCGTTTAGAAACTCCGCGAGTACATTACGTGCGTTTTTAGAAAGAACTCGCAAATGGTGTACATAAGGATCTTCACACACTCAAGGCACTCAGTTCGTACGTTAAAAGAGAAAACTGTAATAATGTACTAACAGCGGAACAGGGACAGCGTTGCGCAATTTTGCTCGCGCTAGGTGGCGCTGGTATGATTGGAGGTCGAACTGTTCAAAGTAGATGGAAGAAAGACATATTTAGTAGAAAGATTACTTACTTTTAAATACTACATCCCGTTTTAATGTCTATAATATGGTAGATGCAAACTGATAGTCATCAATTACAACATTGTCTGTTAATAACCTTTGTGCATGATCGGAAGCATAACTAGTGCTAACTCTTCTCTGTAGAATTGTGTCACTATACATTTTCTACTGAAATTGGTTAATGTAGACATTCACGACCCATACACGTAGACCACAAGCTTTTCTCCAGGTGCCTCCAGACCACAAAATTGGGAAACTCTATTTTAGCGTCCCGTCATGGGGTTCCTTCTATTACTTCCTAATAGCCTACACAGGTTTATTCAAAGTAGCACTTTTATTCAATTTATTTGTCAACGATCTTGCAGAATTTATATCAAGATACTTGATTTCTGCAGATGATCCTAAATTATCCAGAACGGCGAGAAATATCCACGATGCCGAAATCTTTTATAGAGAGATCTTATAAATCTTACTTGCTGGTGTAGTACTAATAAGATCAACATCAATTTGAATAAGTGCTCTCAGATAAACTTCAGCCGTAGTTCAAATTCTCGCATGTATGAATGTAATTTGGAAATCATGACCTCATCAGATCCGATACAGTTCGGGATTTGAGTATAACTTTAGATACAAAATTATCTTTTAAAACACACATTGAAGAACTTACTTCTTAAATCATATTTTTTTTTTTTATACTCCAACTACCACGAAGGCCTAAGGCCTAAGCACCCATTGGGTACCGTGGGGCTATGGGGGATACATGGGAAAGGGGGGACGCCACACGGACTCTGGCGAGGGAACACGTGTGCATGCAACATGCACACATTCTGGCTCCGCCTACGAGAACCGCCGGGTGGTACCTCCGCGTTCGACAGTCAGAGACCATCTACCACCTACGGACAATCACAACATCCGTGGCCAAGAGAAACATTTCTCCTGGGACGGGACTCGAACCCGCACAGCGCACGGCGGCTGATCAGGAGACCGAAGAGTCTACTACTGCGGCCACCGCTGCTGCCTAAAATAAACACACAACATCCATGGCGAAGGCGAGATTCGAACTCGCGGCCCGGCCGGCCGGCTGATCAGTAGCACGACACTCTGACCCACGCGGCCAACCGAGGTCCGAATATTAAAAATGGAGATACATTTTTAGATATACTAAACATCTCTCTGTAGAAATTTTTCGAATTTTATACATTTGGTGCTGAGTATTTTCGAGTATAACACAGTAATATGGTCACCAAATTTAATTGGTGACATTGGATCCATTGAAGCAGCGCAAAGTAAATTTTCACAACAGACAGCTGTTGAAATGGGTGGGAGTTAGAATGCTTTAGAACTAATGAGTACGTTGAAGCACCGCAAGTAATTTTTCGATTTATGTGTCATAGAATGCCCAGAGTTGCCTGCACAAATAAATCGTAATGTTAATGAAAGACGAAGACGCAGTACAGAACTGTTTGCCGTTCCACATCATTCAGCCAACTATGATATGAATACTATTTTACAGGCGGGAATCTTTGGAATTTTGGCTTGCATGTCCTTATTTTGGAGGGAGAAAGGCATGGGAAAAGAACGCACCAAGTGCCTGCAAGATACTGAGATAAAGGGTAATGGTACGGCGGGCGCTCTCGAGAAAACAGAAACACCGGGCAAGCTTGTTGGTCCTGAGCCAGCCCTAGAGGTGCCCGCTCAAAGAGTGAGGGGATAATAGAGAAGTGCATTGCTAGGCAACACTCTCAACAATGGTGAAGCGTCTCTAGACATCTCTGTCAGGCATGAGAGGTCATAGTGTTAGTGTTAAGGAAGCTTTTGCTTATCTTCGGTCAGAACTAACCTCAGGTTGTTGGTAGGACTTTTGTCTTGACACGTTGAGGCGCCACCTGCATGTGATTTGGGTGGCTGATAATAATATTTGTGTCGCTGTGACCTATTATAAGTAGACTATACTGGGATCCAACACTTTGGATCCCCGGAATGTTAAGGACCTGTGACTTAGGGCTATACTCAACTTTGCTAGAAGGGCGGAGCTTGAGACTTAGGCAATGAGTAGGGGCCAGTTTATGCGGGCAACGCGCCCGCTGCTAATGGAGGCCGTAATGCCTCTAATTTCGTTATGCATTCATGGTATGAATGAACCAGGTACTAGAATTCTCAGATTTGGAAACGCCACAATATAGATACTTTCAGTAGCAATATTGAGCACATCAAAAAAATAAAAATGGTTCTATTTAAATCTAGTTTGGTTGGTTTAAAATAAAAGCAGGTTGGGTATCACATAAATCTTTAGTTGTTCCTTAGCTTATTAATTTATGTTACGTTATTGCAAACTGTCACATAAACTCAATGTCTGCCTTGTATGTAATGAGAAACCGTAAATAAGTAGCAGTAGATACGTAAAAAATCACCCTATATAGAGACTTAAAATTAAAGGAATGCTTGTTAGGACTCCGAGAAACATACTCGTAGTTTACACCGCTATTCAAGATTCCGACAATTTTAGTATTCCGACTGAGACAATTTTCATTCAATCACAAGAAAGCATCATGAATGACTGAAATTACGCGGCTCGCAGGTCTCAAAACTCGTACATCTGTCTGCATCCTAACGCAATGGGCGGGCAATCGGGCATCTGGCAGGCTGCACTCGGTGTCGCTGGATGTTACCTCATCTCCATTGCTAATGCTAACTGCCCCATAAATCGAGCGTGGCGGTGTCTTGGCCGGAGTGGTAAATGACCCTCCTCCAAAATCCCTTCTCTCCCTCCCTTCCCTCTAAACCGTTCATAATTTTACGGTGACGTCGAACGGGCCACTCCCGTTCTCCCGCGCCACAGCGTTTTATATACGGCCGCCACCAGGCGACGGAAGTGCCTTCTGCTCTTGCTGCAGTGGACGCATGGGCGACGGAATGGTGAGGATCGATGGGTTTTCCGACGATACACCCACAGACCCCTGCTGCCGAATTTCCAAGTATTTCGAACGTCATCGCAGTGTGCAGTTTCCTTTAGGGAAGTTAATCTCGGCACGAGGTAGCGTTAATTATCTTGTTTGCCGTATAAGGGACTATAAGACAGTCTACCGTACCAATGGCTATTGTTAGCAGCTTTTACCCTTCGTGTAAATAAGCATAAAAGAATATTACCCATCTTTGAAATTGTTGCTTGAATCTCATTTCAAGAAGTAGCTTGTCACTGCACTTCCGCCGCAACGCCGTCATCAACTCATAAAGCATTAAGTTTAGCACACGTTAGAAAGGCTTAGCTACGAAAATGTACAATAGATAAATTAAATGGTTCAAGTTATTTAAGCAGGACTATACAATTAGTCCATCCACATTTTTTCCCCTCCCTACCAGAAATACCGGCTACCTGACAACGTCGCCTCCTTCCCATACCTGACGGCATGATGTCAGACGCGGCTATAATTCTAAGGTGTAAAGTTAAAATAACTTTCTTATGAAGCCGCAGAGTGCTGAAGACGGTACTTCCACTCCTCGTAGCAGTGCTGGAACTCCGACACTGGAATAGCCTTCAGCTGGTCAGTCACAGCCGTTTGAATGTCTCCGACAGTCCTAAAATGAGTTTACTTCAGGCAGTATTTCAAATTCGCGAAAAGAAAAAAGTCACAGAGACTTAAGTCAGGTGAATAAGGAGGCTGATGTGCCACAGGAATGTTCGTACTGACAAAAAACTCGTTCATTGACTGCTGTGTGTCTAGCATTATCGTGGTGCAAGACCCAGTTGTTCTTCCCCGTTAGTTCTGACTGTCAGCCGACAGTTTGAAAGTACAAGGTCCAGGATTGTCAATATTTTTATCGGTTCTTGAAGATGAAGGCCTTCCGCTCCGTGGTTCATCTTCAATCTTCTGAAAATGTCCTAAACCATCAAAAAACCTGGGCTTTTGACCAAACACTGTCTCCGTAGGCCTGTTTCCGTCGCAGAGTACCCAACTCTGAAGCAAACCGTTGCTCAAAATTGATGTCGCTTATTTTTAAAACAGAATAGAAAAAGCTGTTTCACAAAGTCACTACGAACAACCAAATCACAAAATTTGGTCGACAGAATCGGCTACGTCAAGCTCAGCCGTGGAGCGCATATAAATGAGATTGTGTTTCATCATTAACCTGAGGGATAGTACTCTCAAATAAAAAAACCCGTTTGGAAAAAGAACTCTTCGTTTTCATTTTGACAATCGATTTAAAAATTAACCAACAGATGGATCACCCTTTACTTATAGTACCATTCCAGCTTCCTTTGTTATTGTGTATAAAATGTTTATATGAATCATCACAGTGTAGTGACATCTGATTATTTTTCTAAGAGAGTGTGTGGATTCACGATAGCATTAAATATTTATTAAATATTTTCAAAAAATGTTTGTTAAATATTTTTAGCGACAGATTTTTTAATTTATAATAAATATATTTCTTATATATTTATGAAATATTCATTATAGATGTTTGTAGTATATATAATTCATATATTTTAGCGATTTTTTTTCCAAATATTTAGAAAATATGTGAGGAAAGATTTTTAAATATCAATTTTATATTTTGATGAGATATCTAATATTTTTCGTAAATATGTATGGATTTTCAAGCATTAATCTGATACACATTTTTAGTGTATATAAAAAATTCTTCATTGGATATTGTAGCAAAACCTGTAGGAATGCTTATATAAAATTGGGTTTATAGAGAAAATTCATTCTAGATACAATGGATTAATTTGCTAGAAAAATATTATTAAAAAAACATTCTAAGCCTCTTCTGCATCTTTCAAGTCCACTACTCTAAAAAAACACCAACTTACTAATTATGAAGCAAAATTGAATACATAAGCTGCTTTCCAGTGTATTTATTGGTGCTGAGCATGGTGAGTTACTCCGAGTACCTCAACTGGGTCACTAAAAAGCAGCTCTATAATGCACCTAAAAGGCGCCCCCATGTGATGCCTATGATAGTTCGAGATTTGGTTAATTTTTAAGAAAATTTAGTATGTGATTTTAGATATCCTGATGAAAAATGTCCATGGGCACAACTTGATTCTTTGATTAACACTTATTGATTTTGTTGAAATGTGACTTTTTTTAGTAGTACCCTTCAAGGCTAGTTATTTATGGTCTTATGAATACCTTTATACTCAGCTGGAACAATAATGTTTACTAGTCAGAAAAATTGAGCTACGTAATTATCGAAAAACTTACCCTTTTCCACAAAAAAAAACTCAAATAATGAACCACTTGGAGATACACAGGAAGCACGCTATCATAGTAAAACTCCTAGGTAAAATGGCTGCCGGCAAACGGGTCATCTCAGGCGGACTTGCTATTATTCCATTGGTCGCTCGAGGTCACACGCACATGTGCGGTAGCCGAAAATATTTAATGAATGTTTTCTAAATATTGGAGATTTAATATTTTCCGTTGATTGAAAAGTAAATATTTAATCAATATTATAAAAGAAATATTGTATTTAAAATATTTAAAAGATATTGAATAAATATTTAATAAAAAATATTATATTACAAATATTTATTAAATATTTGTTTAAGAGAACAAATATTTAAGTAAGATAAAAATGTTATTAAATATTAAATAAATATCTAATGAATATTTCGTACTATCGAGGAAGTTCGGCTTATCCACACATCCATGTATTTGATTTGCGAATCCAAACTTCAACAAGCTGAAGCGATTGACTTCTTGTCAAAACTCAACCATCAATTAAAACTAAACTGTTGGACATGAAAAATTTTACCCAAATTCAAATCTCGATAGAGATATCCGTTTGCAGTGTTTAGGTGGTCGAGCCGGAAGACATTCATTGTAGGAAGCTAAAAATTCGATAATTTGAGTTACGTCTAACTTTCGAAAAATTTGAGATATCCCTTCTTAGGATAGTCCAAAGATCAAGATGATGCACAAAATTTCTAAGATCAAAAATTGAGAGTCTGACATAGCCCCAAACATTGCTAACGTGACTTCCTTCACTCACCATGTATAAGTGTATAAATAAAAGCAATATACCGATCGACAACGAGTTGGTCAAGAACCTCACAACTCGATTTCTCTTTCCGTTTCGAAAATATCGAAATTTAAATTTTTATAAAATCTTCCATGATGCAAACTGTCCACCAGTTTTTACTGGCCTCTTGTAGCTTAAAAAGGAATGTTATTAATTCTATGGTATGTATCACTGTTTGATTTATCTACACCTTCATGCCTTTTTGTATTCCAAACATTTCCACAAACACAAAATGCAGCTCTAAAAGCGATTCTATCTCCGTTGCATCAAGGTATCTAGATTCCAATTGCATTCCGTTTATAGACGGCTGGTATATAAATAACAGCAATTGATGCATAAAATTGGGTGAAGCACAGACGAAACTTTGCCGCACCGTGACGCACGGTTTTACCCCTGTAAATCAATTGTGCAATAAATATATCTAACGCCTATCTATCGCGACGTTTCTAGTCTGGAATTCATTGGATCGGTTCTATAATTGTTGAAGGTGCTTCTTGTTGTAAATCTAAACTTTAATCTTCATCCATCCGATTGCCAATTTAATTTCCACTACCACTGTAGACCACAGCTGCTAATTTTACTGATCTTATAGTAGATCCTACGATTTCACCCGGTGGGTATAGAAAGAGAAGAAAATTGCAGCGTTTCTTTGCAGTCTCTAATTTTGGGCTCTTGCGTAAATGTGTTGCAAAAATCATAAATATGATGTCCGTTTTTAACTGAGACTGACGGAGGACTTTAAAAAGATTTTAGCATTCTTGATAGCCATATTCAAAATCAGAGCCCCTATCCAGTGTAGCAAGTTTTGTTAACATTATCTTAAAGGTTTGCTATAGAGGAACTTCAAAATTTGATGGAATACGGCACTTACCGTAGATTTTACACTAAATGATTAGTTATAACAACATGTCTTCAGTATTTTCTTTATCCAGTCTTCTGCGTGCTATAGAGTTTCTATCCTTATCCAACCATCGTATTTTTAGGATCATACGGTGCCCTCATTTCAAAAACCTCTAGTTTTCAAACTAAGATTACGGCTACACAACATAAACTTCTTGTTGTTGAATGTTCTCTGAGCTTTTTCCATTTAAATTCTGATTTCTTTTGTGTCATCCTTCGATGTGTTACATTGCTAATGCACTGTTGCTCACTAGTGACACCTTCGTTAAAATTATCTGGAGATCTTCAATATTTGCTGCAAGAAGAACTATATTGTTAGCATATTTAAGAGATTGCACGTTTATTTTGATACTAGCTCTTTGTCTTGAAGTGCCTTCTCGAAAATGTCTTCGGAATATGAGTTGGCTAGGGATGGTGATGAAACGCAGCCCTGTCTAGCACCTGTTGGAATGTTTGTCTATTATGTAGCTATTTAGACGGACTGTAGTCCACAATAGCGATTACTCTACATTCGGGTGTCTCTTCTTCTGCTGGAGCTGTGTAATGTAAGGACTAACATACTCTATAGTGTGCCTATGTATCTCCAGTCGCTCGATTGTAAAGCTTCAATTCTGCCTTTTATGACTATTACTACTATTACTAACCTAAAGTATTAATTGTCTTCTTTAACAGCCGCAACGAGTGCCGTTCCAATTAAAACGATGAAGTACTTCGAGAGTTTCAGTTACGGATCGACTACTAATTATCTTAAGAACATTACCCGAAGAGCTGCAATGGTCGAGAACTTTTTAGTTTGATGGAAAGTTTCAAATCATCTTCGAGAAAGTCCATCAAAGAATGATGGCACCAGCACTACGGGCCAACGGGGATTCCAGCTTGGAACAGTTGGATTTTACAGTCATTCGTTCGGTCACTATGCTTAAGTACACTGTCTGGATTGTGACTTGGGGGTAAGTTGCTTCAAGCCGAGCAGACATAAATAAGTAACCCAGAGATAAGCGTAAATAGTACAGTATTTAATACGAAATAGCAAAAGAGGAACTTACCCTTGTTGGCACTGCAGAGCATCAGATTGCACAACCTTCTGCGTCAACATTGCTAGGCAACGTAGTGATGACCTCTCTTTAGTTGGCTTCTATCTCTTTAAAACATGGTTTGATACAAACTTCTCGCGATTCTCTCTCGTACACAAGCAGTCAGACGAATTTGGTTCTTCTTGTATATTCATTACCAAATGAGCTAAGGCGTGTCAAGACTTACAGGGTGGTCATTCGTAACAATAGAATGACAACATTTATCCTTAATATGTAGTGGCAGAGAATCGGAAGCCGTAGATGCACTGTTGAGAACCAAACAGGATGTTTAAGTTCTTTAAAAGAGAATTACAGGATGCCACTTCCAATATTCTTCTTTTTTCAGCTAGAGTATATGACAAGAAGAGCTTAGAGGTAATAATTATATGTGAAAGAAGATGCCTTATTCATGGTTGTAACAGATGATTCAGAAGAGTATGTTGCATAGAAGACGTTTCCTTTTTCTTTTGTTCTCTGGTTTACTTAGTGGCAACAGCAGTATTTGTATATTGATTTTGCTGTACACAGTATATCTATGAAACCTTATGTTGACGCTTGCACTTCGCAATGTCGGATATCCACTTGGCGTTACTACCATCAATACTTTCACTTTTCAGTAACTACGTCGCTTTAGCCTTGACATGAAATTTAACAGGAGCTCCGTCGGATTTCCTCTGTTCTGCAGCCGACCTCTACTAAGATTTACAATTACAGTCGACTAATAAGACAGGATCAGCAGTTTTTTGATCCCAATCTCACCGTCCTTTGCTTTCATCGCCGACGTGTATAACATACGTAACGGAACAAATGTTATGACCGTATCTATAATGGATCGTCTATGTTTTCTTACTGCCTTTCCAAAACAATGACATCATGATTTATTTTTACGTACTAAACTAACGAATGACGATCATAAAATATTTAAGTTTTTTAAGCAATGAGCATCTTTGCACAATTAGCATGGAAGCATTTATAGAACAGTTTTCTACTCCGGAAGTATGCTAATCATAAAGCACTTTGGTTCGGGATAGTAGGTACGTTTTCTTCATATCTAAATGACAAATGCACCACAATCAATATAACTATGATAATTCCAGTAGTCTCTCCAATTGGTTTCTGTTATGTAATCTATAGTTATCTACTATACGTATACTCTTTTGACTTTGATCTTTTAAATAGGTTACGACCATGTCAAGGACGATTTTCTTAAGACCAGTCTTATGTGGATGTAGTAGAATTTAACAATCCTTGTTCTCTGTATACAAAAAAGGATGCATAGATCAAAATATCTCAATACGTTTATCAGAAAAATTTTGTGGAACAAAGTTATAAGGTTTGACAAGGGTCATCGAATGGTGATCTTGAATTTGACACTGATTTTCAAGGTCGTTTTATCGTGTGCTAACGGTATGGAGGGACCAATATGTCTCAAAAGTATGCTACCTAAAGGAAAATGTTGCACAGCCGCAAGCAAGGCAGCAAGGCTTCGGGAAGAATACCTCATGGGGACCACGATCGTGACATTGAGCACGTCTTTGAAGGTTTTACAGTGATTGAGGACGTGACTATGCTGGGAGCAAGAACAGAAGTACCGCTAAAAAAATGGCGTTCAAGGTCAACGTGAGATTCATTGACATGTATATACTTGAGCGTTGATTATCCGCAATTTGCAGTTCAGGAATTCAAAATAGATGTTTCCAATTAAGAAAATTATTTGACCTTCAAATGACCTTGCTGGTCATAGTCAAGGTCACGGGGATACTTGAACATAAAGCTTCCTGAGCTCCACATTCCTGCTGCCTAAAATAAGCGTTTCCATCGAAGAAAGCTGCCTTGACCTTAATATGTTGAATGCCATAGTCAAGTTCACTTCCGATCTCACCATTCCTCAGTCCTAAAACCTCACAACCTTGTTCTGTTACATTTTTCCTCATGAAGCATATTTTCCGAGGTGTTTTGCCCGCTCCCTGCAAAGACAAGCTTGAAAGTAAAATTTCCCATTCACATTTCTAAAATAGGGGCTTATATTTAAGAAAGCTACCTTTACTGTCAAATCGCTTTGAAGGTCGTGTGCAAATAGTCGTTCAAGATCACCATTAAATCACCCTTTCTAAGTCTTACGACTGCAGTGTATAAGACTTTCCTCTAGGAAATGTATTTTAGAAGTATTTTGATGTACCCGTACTTTTTCTAGACGCTGTATATTACGGCACCATTCATATTTAGTTAGGAAAATTTTACACGATGTCATGGCAAAGCTGTACATTTTTTGGTAGTTTCTGGAAATTCGTTAACAGTCGATGATATACGCGAATATCCAATGGTGCACAAATGTCGTCAAACAGATACACACTACCGGTTCTGTATAGTGATACAGTGTAGTATATCATATTTGATCACATGCTAATGTTGAAAGGCACATGTGAAAAGTATAGTACGACGGACTTTAGTGCATATTCGTGTTTGCCTAGTTCTAGAAAGAAACTATTCTTTAACAGATAGTTCTCTATGAAAAGAATATAAGCTCCAAACATCAAGCCACCAGGATTTACTGACACAGCGACAAAGGGGCATGGAGAGTACAGTGCAAGAAAAACCTGGAAATTATGAGATATTACGAGATATTATGCATCTGGCATTTCATCTCTAGCACATTTAAATATTATTCACCCACGGCCGGTTGCTTAATTTGCATATGAAATCGCTTTTTGCCTGCTGCTGCTGCTGCTCTTACCGAATGAACTCATACATTTTACGCTGAATGTCGGTGCTGCTTGCCAAAAGTATATTAAGCAAAAATTCTACGCCCCGCGAGACGGCTCATAAAGTTGAACTCCGTAAGTTGTAGTTAAGTACTGAGACAGATAATTAAAAAATGTTTTTCTTGTAGCTTGTGAGTCTGCAAAGCAAGCAGTGCATATACCGCATTTTAAAGATTTTGAAATATCTATCCCAATAATTCAGAACACACAAAATGGATCATTATCTGAAGCATGGATGTTAGATAATGGAATGTAGTTGTGTCAAATCAAGCTGCAATAAGCTTAGAACAGCGATTCTCAACCTGTGGGGCGCCCCTTTGCCGACTGGAAGGCTCGCATGTTCGAATCTCCGTCTTGGAAGTTAATTTCAAACCATGTACGTTGTGTGTCTATACTATGCAATAGATCGGTGCAAGGTCAGCATGGATACATCGTATCGGTGTAGCTAGGTGATTCAGCAATCAGTTACCAGTAGATGCCTTGTACTACAGATTTGATAATATAGGAGCGCTCAATAAGAATTGTGCAACAAATATCAGGTTGAAATACCCTTATTTAGACCAATTTCTTTGTGGCAAAATGCTTCAATAATACGGTAGGTCGTTTCTGACCGAGATGAAGCAATTTTCCTTCTTCGGATCCTGTATGTAATGATAAA